GGTTTATGATCTGTTCGCAATATAAATTTTCTACCAAAAATGAAAGTATGAAATTTTTCCATTCCAAACAAAAGTGCTCGTGCCTCTTTTTCTATTGGTGCATAATTTTTCTCTGACTCCAATAATGTTCGCGAGGCAAATGCGATAGGTCTGCTAATGCACAGCTCGGCAAGTTTGGCGAATATGGAATTAGCGTTTTATTTGTTGACAAAAGCTGTTTTATTTTATCAAATACCTCTTGTTCCCTGTCCGACCAATCCCAGCAACATTTAATGCTTGTTAATTTATGCAGTGGGGCGGCAATTGCAGATGTGGCAAAAATCTCTCATGATAATTCACAAGTCCTAAAAAAGATTGTAATTGGTGTATTTTATTAAGAGTTGGTATCCTTCGAATAGCATCTATTTTTTCTTTCGCTGGGTGTATTCCATTTTTGTCTATTAAAAAACCTAGAAAAGAAACTGATTCATTTAAAAAGCATATTTCGGCCCATTTTCCCTTCATACCCACCTGTTTTAGATTCAATAATACTTTTTTTACGTTATTCAAATGTTCTACATCATATTCCCCAGTTATGATAATATCGTCAAGATATCCTCTGGTCATTTGGCAGTCTTGTAATAAATTATCCATATATCTTTGGAAAATGGTCGGCGCACTAGAAAGACCTAAAGGCATACATTGATATTGGAAATAACCAATATGGGTTGATATGGTTAAGTATTCTTTTGAACTCTCTTTTATTGGAAATTGTAAATATGCATCTTTCAAATCTATTACCGTAAATTTCAACCCATCTTTTAATTTGGTTAAAAGATCATCCACCGTTGGTATAATATGATAATCGTATAAAATAAATGGGTTTAATGTCACCTTAAAATCCGCACAAATCCTGATTTCTCCATTTGTTTTGCGTAAGTTTACTGTTGGAGTAGCCCATGTCAAACGTTTTTTTGTTGGGTCAATCTCCTTCAATAATCCCGATTTAACCAATTTATCGAGTTCCATTTCAATTGGTTTTCGTAATGGGAAAGGTACTCTACGAGCTGGCCATGATTTCGGTCTTGCTGCGTTACTCAGATGTATGCTAACTTCCATATCATTCACCCGTCCTGGTTTGTCATCAAAAACACTGAAAAATTCTGTCGTCATGCCAGCAATTTGTTTATCGGTTCTCATAACCTCTTTACTTGTGATACTACGTATAGTAACTTGTCGTGGGATAAACATATTAAATGCCAGTATCCATGGTAGTCCAAATAATGGTATGTCATTTGAACGGGTCATCACAATCAGTTGTGATCTGCTTATCTTTTCAAGACGAACCCCCATAGTCTCACCAAGTACATCCAGCGGTTGGTTACCATATACTGACAAAGGTTAGGTTGGTCCAACTTGGGTCGGCCAATTTTATCCCAATATTGTTTCCCAATCATCAATACCTGTGCCCCCGTATCATAGTCAAATTCTATAGGTACTCCATTTATCCTAACAGATATCTTCACTTTTCCACCAATTTGGGAAATATTATTAATTAAATCTGATGAGTCATTGTCATCTTGATGCATAGCATGTAACTTACGTCCCTTACAATATTTAGCATAATGCCCTACCTTTTGGCAATTATAACATTAGGGGGGGGGTGAGTTCTTCCACATTTTGAGCATTCATTGTACTTACACATATCATTATTGTTAAATTTACTGTTATCTCTGAACTTAAAATCATTATTATTGTAATAACTAAAATTTCCTTTTTCTTTATTATTATTACTAGTAGATAGCCCGTCAAAAATGACGGAGAATGAGAATTTTATTCATTTTTTTAAGAAAGATGTTACCTTTTATTTAAAAATCATATCCAATTTATATTATTTTTAAACCCCCCCCCTCCCCATTTAGGTCAAGTCCAACCAATGTCATTGAGTCCAACCCATTAGGACTAAGAGTGGAAACTATTTTTTGAGTCAAAATATGTTTAAGTGAGCTTTTACCCAATATCAAAATTCTTTGTAAATATATTACTGATTACATAAGACTAACATTTAACATCCAGGTCCAAGCTCATAATATTTGGAAAAAATTTTCAAGCGTCCAAGACCTTATAATTTAAAAAAAAATTTCTCAAGCCTAGCTCAACCCATAATAATTTTAAAAATTTTTTCCTAGCCCGGCCCATAATAATTTGTAAAAGATATTCTCAAGTCAGGTGCAAGCAAATATTAATCTTGAGGAATATTTTCCAAGCCCAGTCCAACCCATATTAATTTTCAAAACTTTTTCCCAAACCCAGAGATAGTTAAATTTCTAAATAATTTATCATCACATGAAAGGGAAATTTCGGATTTACTTATTAGTGGGTTAACTCCTTTTATCAAAAAATTTGATAAGGGCTATCTATATCATTATGTTAAGTACAAAAAAATGCTATCTATTTAAATTACAAAAATTTAAGAAATTTGTTTTTCTTGCCATATAAATTTAGGTAATTTTTAAAAAAAATGATGAGGTATAATTATTATTTTGTGTGTCTGATAAAATTAAGAGCAAATCCTTTATGACATTTTAATTTTTGATGGAAAAAGCGACAAAATAAATCTGGGCAGTCGTCTGCAGAAGAAATAATTAATGTATAATATCACCCCTTTAGAGTTGTAGGTGAAAGTAATGAATAATGACGGATTGCCAAAGCAGTGTACAACACCCATTGCGTCTTGATAAAGCTGAGGACTTGGGCTACTGGTAAAAGAAGAACGCAAAAGGATATTTCTGCCAAAGTGTCAGTTTTGGTATCCCCCTCTAAAATAGAATCATGAACGACATTGTCAACAACCATAAAATGGTCGTAAATATTGTTATAAAGGCCATGACAAAACTACCGCATATTTTCCCATTAATAATGTTAATGAAATTGGCCGCACTACACACGTTTGAACATCCCTCTAAATATTCATGAAAGTTCCTCAGGGAATCGGATAAAGTATTATTTATATTAACTCCTAGTGAGGTGAATGATAGTGGAATTAAATGGTTATATTTGTCAAAAATTAGGCAGAGGTGGCATAGGGATTGTGGTAGTGGTGATATATCTAAAATAAAAACATAAGAATAATTTTAAAAATATTAATGTATTAAACCTGAAGAGGAATCTATATTAGGTTCAACTCTCTAGAAAGAGTGGGAATATCATCAGAAGCTAAAATTGATGTATTCTAAGTGTAAAAAAATATATAAGCATTTATAATTTAATTTACTTGAAACAATTGAATGATATCTATTTTTTGATATTAGCTCTTGTAAAAACTCATTTTTTTTAAAAATAAGGGTGTATGATTGTTTGATTTGTAAAAACTCATTTTTATAAATAAAAAATATTATTTACCCTTTCTTCTCAAAATGAATATGGGTTGAATTAATAATTGAATCATATTTAATTTTTGATATCATAAATTAATAATATTATTTACCAGGATTATAATTGCTTTTTATTTGAGTCTTGCTTTCTTGGATTTTCTTCTCAAAATATTTCACCTATAAAAAAAGTTTTTTTATAAATTATAAATATAATTTACCAGGATATAATAGTTGCTTTTTATTTGAGTCTTGCTTTTATAAAAAATAAATAAATTAATAAAAATAAATAAATACGTAGCGATGACATGACGTAGCGATGACATGATGTAGCGATGACATGACGTCACAATGACATAGTGAGGACATCGGAAAATTATAATATAGATATGGGTACTTTTGATTAGAAAAATTTCCTTGATTATTCTCTATCTGCTCCTTAGATTTATTGACTTTTTTTACCATCATATTTGTCACTTCATCCTCAGCCCTTTCCATTGCCAAAGCCATATTTAAAACCTGTTGAAAACTCACCCTTTCTCCCATGTCATTTGTTCCATCTGGAAATCTGGTGCGAATATCTATCTCCAATGCACCCATTTTGATTCCAGTCACCATTTGATCCCTCAATCTCCCATCCAGGTCAGATTCAAATTTACACTCTTGTGCCAAATTTTTAAGTCGGTCTGCAAACTCAGCAACTGCTTCACCATCCCCTCTTTCTATTCGAATAAACTTAATTCTCGAGCTGAATAACGTTGAAATAGGCTTAAATACTTTTTTACCCACTTCAATTATCTCCTCATAATTAAGTTCTTTCAAAATTTTTGGACATACAAAAGACCTCATCTCTGCCAAATTACTAATCCCCATATAAGCAAATAATATTTTTTTCTTGGTTTCATTATTTATTAATATACCTCTTACCTCCAACACATCATCTATATATTCAATTTAATCTTGAAAGTTGTTTGATTTATCATAATTATCAAATTTCATTTGTATATATTAATATAAATCGCGGCCGAAGACTGAACAAAAGCATGCCGAAGGCCCGCAAATTTGTGGGTATGTGGGGCCTTGAGCCCCCTGAGATTGTAAAGGCTAGCGACGCCCCTGACGAAATATATTTATAACGACGAATATATTTTCATAACATTAACAAACTCAATTTCTAATAATCTTTATTATATATATAAAAAATTATATTTAAAAACAATAATATCCTCTCGAAAATTATCTTCAAAAACGTCCATATCTAGCAATTACAAATCGACAGATACAACAATTATAATAATTACCTCGTCATTAAATATTTTATTAATTATTGTAAATATTCATTCTTATAATATGCGTGTTTAAATAATAAAATTATTTTTTATAAACTATTCTGATTTAATTGGTAATGATAATTTTTTTAAAGTATCTTGTATTTAAGATACTCTCATTTAGCAAAAGATATAAGTATCTTTTAGATATTTTTATTAAGATACTAGTATCTGCATCTTTCATTTTTTTATAAAGAATAAGCATCTAGATTTTTTTTTGGAGGACCTGCTCAACACTGGATACTGATGGGTTACTTTAAAATGAAAACCTGCCATTGATATGCCATATGATAGGTGTCATATATTTTTTATGGTATATTCAGTCAGCAATATATACAAATTTTCTCATGGAATTGCTAAGCGCTTCATATGATTCAGATTCAGATATTTATAAAGCAGAAAATGATGTAAAGCCGCTTCATTTAATTCCGATATCAACATCTTTAGACTCACTGAAAAATAAATTAAATTTTAATATGATTCCATATATACCCGTTGATGTAATTAAATTATGAAATATTTCATTTTCGCCTTTATTAATTTAGAAATCGATTGACACCTTAAATTATATGCACCCAATTACTCGTGAAATTTCAGAAAATTTAACTTATGAAGAAATGTTTGCTCCAAAAGTTATTAACTGGATTAATAATTTATAGAAATTTCTCATTTTAGGTTGGACCAGAAAATCCATTCAAAACCCAACAGGGTAGAGCAGTGAAGAATACATTTTCTGGATTTGTAGAACCTGATTTTGTTCAATATGCAAATTTTGAAATGCAGCGTAAAGCATTTCATGTAGATGGTATAATTTTTTAATTTTACATCATTTAATAGATGTGTTGATAAATTTATATGCAATGTAATTATGAATACTAAAACTTTTTTAAAAGGCTATGCAATGGACCCATCAATTGAGACTGATACCCAAATTACTAACCCAACAGTTGGCACCATCCCAGATGAAACAGCAAATTTTAAAAAAAGTTTAAAGTTTTTTACCATCAAAATATAATTAATGCTTGAATTTTTATTTTTTACAGAAAAAAGAAAAAAAGCAAGATCTGATGACCCATCAGATATAGATGGTTATTTGGGACCTTGGGCAAAATTTGTTGATGAGGAGACAGTTTCAAAACCTTCAGAGGTAAATATTTAACCATTATGTTATTTATATATATTGTTTTTAAATATTATGTGCCTTAATTAATGGAGTATGGAGCTATCCAGTCTGAGTCTTCTCACCTAAAACTGGACTGGAAGACTAATCATAATTTTTAAAATATTGAGTTTTGTATCATGCTATATAGACCTAATTTAAATATATATATTTTTTGACTTTTTGCATTTTTTTTTGCAAATTATATACTTTTTTATTTTCTTTATACTTTCTTATTTCCTTAATATTTACTTTTTGTAGTAATACAACTACTAATTTATAAACAATATGACTACTAATTTATATTTCAATTTATTTCAAACATCAAATTTATATTAATTAATTTTCAAATATTCTATTCTATTTTAATATATAATATTTTATTAATTTATTACATTTCCTTCAAACATTTTAAAGTTAGATTTCTTCAATAAAACTCTTTGTAGGTTTACGGTTCCTTGATGAACAACATAATGTGGTATTTGTGTTTGTATTTGCTTCATTCACTGGCATGGCACAACCATTTCTGTAACTTCCAAAGAACTTTCATGATTTGGGATAACTTACGATTTCTTAACTGATCTGCATGCTTCTGTAATGTTATCCCGGAAGATTCAACAATATAAGAATAAAGTCCTATTCTTTCTTTAATTACTCCTTCTCTCCAACCATTGGTATTTTCATTATTTAACCATACAGGTACTGTTGTTAAACAACTCATTTTGAGCCGATTTTTAAAAACGACTAACTCGATATTGTAACTAAAAAAATATTTCCTAAGCCTCGAGATTTTGCTAATAGATGTTCAAACCTTTATTCCTTCTACAAAAATCTTCAGGCTTGCGGAATATTATTCAGATAAAATATTGAGTTAGCAGTTTTTAAAAATCGGCTCAAAACGAGCTGTTTAACAACACTACATACAGGTTGTGAGATTTCAAATTCTCTTTCCTTTGAATGTAAATCATGATGAAGGCTTTGTCTATCATTGGCCTTTACTATTTCGTGTTCGGCATTTGGTCGGATCCAATCTAGACTAGTTTTCAATAGCCACCCAAGCACAATTTTAGCAGGAGATCTCCCTGTGGAGCTATGCTCTCCCAATCGGTAGGTTGTTAAAACCTGTGTCATAGCTTCTTTGGGATCGCTAATTGAATCTCTCATCACATAATACCGACCTTTCAAAGTTCGTACTGTACGTTCAGCTAATCCATAAGTTTTTGTATGATAGGGTACGAACGTATATGACGTATGTTATTTAAATCACAATACCTACGGAATTCCCCAGGTAATAATTGTGGTCCATTGTCTGACACAATGTACTTGGGTATTCCAAACCTAGCAAACCATTTTTTTAGTCGTTTTATCATAGCAGCAGCAGAGGTATTCTGCATTAGATCAACTTCTAACCATTTGGAGTAGGAATCGATACCAATTAGCCAATATCGCGAATCTACTGGTCCAGCAAAATCAATATGGATTTGCTCCCAAGATTCCTTCCCAACAGTCCAAGAATATAGAGGTACTTCTTGAATACTAGGTCTATTTTTCTGGCATCCAGAACATATTTTGATAAAATTTTATATATCAACATCACATCTGGGCCACCAGCAATACAATCTAAAAATAGATTTCATTACATTTTCCCCAGGATGTCCCCGGTAAATCATTCCTAACACTGCATTTCTTAATTCTATAATATCACGATCGACAGAAAGCTCTTCCCGTCGATTATAAAAATTAACTATTTCTTTATCTTTATGACGATCAAAGTTTCGCCAAGTTTGCTGAATATGTATTGCTACGCAATACAGTCTAAAAATAGATTTCATTACATTTTCCCCAGGATGTCCCCGGTAAATCATTCCTAACACTGCATTTCTTAATTCTATAATATCACGATCGACAGAAAGCTCTTCCCGTCGATTATAAAAATTAACTATTTCTTTATCTTTATGACGATCAAAGTTTCGCCAAGTTTGCTGAATATGTATTGCTACTTTTTTTAATATTAAAGCTTGCTTCGACTCTTTTCGTAGAATATTTTCTGACAATTGCATATCATCCAAATTAATACTTCGAATATCCAAAGCATGTTTAGAATCTTGATTCTCTACCGTGTCAATATCGGAAGCCTTGATAATGCGTCGGCGATTACATTTTTATTACCAGGTCTATATTCTATTGTAAAATCATAAGAAGCCATCTTCCAGGCCCAACGTGTCAAACGATTATTAGAAATTTTAGGTAAATCGCGTTTCTCCCCAAATAATCGCTCTAATGGTTTATGATCAGTTCGAAGTAAAAATTTTCTACCATAAATAAATGAATGAAATTTTTCAATACCAAATAAAAGTGCTCGAGCTTCTTTATCAATTGGAGCGTAGTGTTTCTCTGATTCTAATAAAGTATGTGTAGTCCTAGAAAAGATCTAAGTTGTTGTATATTTTTAGGTTTTGGCGCATTTCGGATAGCCTTCACCTTTTCCGGATTAGGATGTATACCGAATTTATCAATTATCACCCCTAAAAATGAAACCGATTTTTGTAAAAATCTCACTTTTGTCAATTTCGCCGTAAGACCTACTGCATGTAATCTGTCTAAAACTATTCGCAAATTATTTAAGTGCTCCTCATCATTTCGACCAGGAATAATTACGTCATCTAAATAGACACCAGTCATTTGGAAATCTTTTAGTAACTCATCCATATATCTTTGGAATATAGTTGGTGCACTTGCCAATCCAAAAGGCAATCGTCGGTAACGGAAATAGCCCTTATGAGTTACTATCGTTAGTAGTTCCTGAGATTCCGATTCTACTTCCATCTGTAAGTACGCATCTTTCAGACCACGGTAAATTTATCACCACCTTGGATTTTCTCTAACAAATCGTCTAAGGTAGGAATAACATGATGGTCATACAATAAACATGGATTGAGTGTAACTTTGAAATTAGCATAAATTCGAATATCGCCATTACTCTTGCGTACATTTACGGTTGGCGTTGACCACTATACACTGGTTATAGTCGAATCAATCTTTTCGATAATTCCTGCAGCCACTAATCGGTCTAATTCCATTTCAATTGCTTTGCGAAGTGGAAATGGTACCCTACGGGCTGGAAACGATCTTGGTACAGCGGTATCCTTTAAATGTATTCGCACTGCAAAATCACGTATGTGTCCCATCTTATCATCAAAAATTTCTTGATGTTAATTAATCAAATATCGAATTCTAGAATCAAGTGTTATGCAACATTTTTCTTTTTCAATATTGTTGACCAAATTGCGTACTTGTTTAATCATAACCTGACGAGGCATTTCTAAATTGAATGCTATAATCCATGGTAATCCGAAAAGAGGCACCCCAGTTGTATTCATTATTACCACTGATAGGGTACTTGTCTGTAATCCAATCCTAACATTGACTTGGGTCTCGCCCTTAACGTCTAACGGATGATCACCATATGCAGTCAATGGACTGGTTGGCCTAATCTTTGGTCGTCCAATACTTGACCATATATCAATTCCTATCACGCTTGTGCACCAGTGTCAAAATCAAATTCAACATCTAACCCATTTATCTCTGCAGTTAGTTTTGCTGGATTCTCTCGATTTTGTTGAATCTTCCAAATATTATGATTAGAATCACTTGATGGCACTCTTATATAATTTAAATTCTTTGATTTACAGCAAACTGCAAAATGACAAATTTTTTTACATTTATTACATGCCGCATTTGTAGCTGGACATCTCACTTCTTGGTAGGTCTATTCAAAAATAATTCGAATATTCGATTCGAATAATTACGAATACGAATAATAAATTATTTGTTTTATCTGAATACGAATAATCATTTATTCGATTCGTATAAAACGAATTATTCGTAATATTTAATAAATGTTTAATAAATCTAACATTTCTCATTTCTATTTGTTGACCTGCCAATCGGACAGGTGATGTGTTTGTGTTTATAAAAATTCTAGCACAAATTTAAAAATTTCTGAAGTGAAAATTTAAATTTTTATTTGCCACATTTTTTGAATCTCACGAAAAGTTTATTTTTGAAACTCATAATAAATTATATTAAAAATTACACAAACCAGAGGTACATAAAAATATATTACATTTCTACAATAATTATTGTTAGCTAGCCTAATTATGTTAGAGGAGAATGCTTCTGATAAAATTATGCTTGATGTTGAAGATGAGAAAATTTCCTCAAAGAGAGCAATCATATGGGATCAATATCAAATCCTTAAAGATAGTGAAAAGGTTGCTTGCAATCATTGCAAGAGTATTATAAAATGTAAAGGCAAAACAACATCTCCTCTTATTAATCATTATAATAGGTTTCATTCACACCTTAGTAAAAAAATAATAAAATTGACATTTTTTAAAGTCTACACCAAATTCTTCAAAAATAATTAATTTTAAGGATAATTTATTAAAATTATTTATAAATCATAATATTCCTTTTAAAATTATTAATTCTAATGATTTTAAAAATTTTATAAGTGATCTTGATTGTTCTGTAAAATCAATATGCTCCAATACTCTTAAATTGCACATGTATAATACATTTGCAGAAAAAGAACAATTGGTAAAGGAAATAATATCTAAAAATAAAAGTCAGATTAATTTTTCATCTGACATTTGGACTAGCCCAACACAGGTTCCTTTTTTAGGGCTAACAGCCCATTTTATTGATGATAATTTTAAAATAAATAACATAATTTTGGATGTCAGTCCAATAAATGAAACACATTTAGGTGAAAATATATTTAAAGCCTTTGTCAAAATAATTAAAAATTATAATTTAGAGAATAAAATTTTTTTATATAACTTTATAATGCAACTAATAATAAAACATTTATTGATACATTTTCTTTAAAATATCCCTTAATAAAAATAGGGCACATTCTATGCTTTGCCCATGTAATTAATTTAATATCCAAAGAAATTTTAAAAATTTTAGACCCTTCAATT